AACTTGGTGTCGAGGATGTCAAAAGACACCGGCTCGCACGCAAGTGGCGCAAAGTAGACAGGAACGCCGTCGATGCATCGGTCAATCGATTTTTGCGTACGGTCGTCCGCGAGTGTAACTTGCGTGGGTTGCGTCTTCCTTCGAACGCGCGGGCCAAGGCCTGCGCGGGCCATAAAGGCTTCGCTCATAAAGTTGCGAGACGCTCTGCAATCAATCAAGGCACTACAGGTTGCCTTTCCGATTTGAATGCGGATATAGAGCAAAGGCGCGTCGAATTCAGCGTACCTTTGGGTGGCGTACTCGCGGTCAATCTTCACAAGATAGGAGCGGAGATCGACAACCGCTACCCCGTCGTCCGTCAACGGAGCTGGTACTGTAGTGTGCAAATAGGAGCATAGATTTGCCATCAAGGCGTTGCAATGCGGCCTTGGCAAGGTTCCGATCGAGGGTAGAGGCATCCAAGCGAAGTCCTCTCTCGTGAGCAGGTCAAGCTCCTCAAGTCTTGACCACGCCGTCGAGTCCTCGGAAATCAGTGGCGAACTGACCGGATCACTTGCCAACGGTGTACAGGCTGCGCATACGCAATCTAAGCGCACGTGGTTTGGCTGGTCTAGTGGTGGTACCAGCTGGGCGGCATAATCCTCGTACATAGCACGAGAATCCGCGACTAACGCATGCTCCCCGATAGTGACATCGATTGCTAGCAAGGCAACCGGGTCCGGCGGAGTGAGGAGAGACGTCGCCCCTCTCCTTGCGTAACTCAGTTTCCCGAGTTTGCTGGACGGGGTACGCGTGCCTTGCCCTTTTCGGGGCATTGTGCGGTCAAGTGCGTGACTCCATTGCACCAAAGGCAATATCCGTACTTTTGACAAAGGGCGTAGATTTCCTTGGTTATCTTGTATGTCGTCCATGGCTGCTGCCCAGTTCCCGTCGATGTCGTCTCTTGTGTCGCCTTGTTCTTCCGAACTCTCTTGGGACGCTTCGGCGGGAGCGCTGCTACAATTCCTCCATCACTCGAGGATGCTGCTGTAGCGTGGAGATCGACTGTTTCTTCAGAAATCACAGCATTGTTATGTGCTGGTCGTTGATAGGCCGGCTTAGCCATATAGTGCGGCTGGGACTGCTTCTCGTTGGCGGCCTTGTCGTCCGTTTGGATGACCAGGTTTGCGCGGTTCAGAATAGCCTGGAACGAGGTATAGTCGTACTCGTTGCCGAGTGCCGACCGCAATCCTGCGCATGATCGTGAGAAGAACTCGGATCGTTGGTTTGTAAAACTCAAATCGAAGCCTGGCATGGTCACTATCTTCTGCCACTTAATCGTCCAGTCTCGAGTTGGCATATTTCCCTGTGAGCAAGTGTACACCTCGTTCATGGCCGCCTTCACGACATTGCGGACCATGAATTGGGTGATCCATAGTTGCTTGAACTCCTTCCACGTAATGTGCGTGTGGAGTTCGGCGATAGTGCATTGCTTGGTAGCCGCCAGGTGATTCATCCATGCTTGCGCTCCTCCAATCAGTTGTAGGTAGATCGCCTTCAACATGTCTTCAGCCGGGACAGTGCGGCAGGATGCTTCTGTGAGGAAACCTTGCCACCATGTCAAAGCGTCGGTCTTGTTGTCGTCGTCGAACTTGCTGATGGTGAACTGCGGCATCTTGAAATTCTTGGTAGCGGCGTCCGGTCTCGTCTGCAGCTTGGTGATGTCCGTTTTGATGGCGGCCACCGTGCTACTGATCGTGTCCGGCCCATTGAAAACACCTATGTCGCCGATGAGATTGACGACATAATCGATGCGCCCATTGACCTGCTTCGTCATGTCTGTCGTGTCTGTCGTGCAACCTGGCACTGCTTGGGGAGGCCTTGCCTCCAAGGTAGCAATGCGTGCATCTAGCTGTTTCAGCTGGTTGTCCGGGACCTTGACAGCTGCTGCAAGCGTCTTCACGTTGTGGTTCAGATCGTGCTGCAGCTGCCGTGTGGACTGGGAATGCAGCTCCCCCATGGTGCTGTTCCAAATGACGGCGCGCATTGTATTGAGTAGAATATCTGCCAGGTCTTGCCTCTCCTGTTGCACTGTCGTTGGCTCGCTGCCGGGTACGGGGACATAACGCATCCCGTTGAGTACCGCTGTCCATTGTGCTTGATTAGCAATTACAAGTTCATCGCTGTCGGCGTTGAGCTGATCGATCGCCAACTGGTCTGCCTCAGCTTGACGCCGGGTTTGTGCTGCAGCTTCCTCTGCTAGCCGTAGTCTTTCGGCTGCGGCAGCCTCTTGCTGTTCCTTGACACGGGTGAGTGCGGCTGTATGGTCCTGCATTCTCTGAATGAAGTCCGGGAGGGGCTCATTTGACACCCTTGCACCGGACAGACCGGTAAGGGTTCGGCATTACTAGCTGTCGAACCCTCGGATAATGATCCGCTGTGTGGCGTGTTCGCCATCTGAGTACTGGTCTGTGGCGGTTGTTGAGCTGCAGGTTGCTGTTGCTGTTGGAGATCGGCGATCCTCTTGCTGCGCCGTGGCTGCTGTTCGAAGGCTGGCCCTGCTGGCATCAGGAACTGCTGCTGAAGGCTGGCTCGTCCGAAGGATCGCAGAACAGTGTGAGGGAGAGGGTGGGCACAGGGATAGAACAGATCAAGCAATATACATACAGTCCCTGTCCCAAGGATGGTCTTAGACACCTAATCAAGTAGAAAAATAAATTTTCCCGTAAACAACTCGAAAATTTGTAATAAGAAAAATAATAACGAATTATTTAATCAATAAAGATTAATAACGAAATAATAATTCTTAATGATAATCAATAAACAATATTTGCAATAATGATAATGAACGAATTTGAATTGTATCAAGATGAGGTATCCGTTGAGATCATCTTTGAGTCCGGGAGTTCACCGTTAATTAGTGAACTACCCGGAAGTTGCAATGCTGAGGGTCAGATTCGGATTAGTTTGCCAAAAAAAATTCGGAAAAATCAGGAGAAAAAACACTCGAATTTTCAGAAACGTGAAATTTCGGGTATTTCCACCACAAAAATCCGTTTTTTAAAGGCCTAAATCCGTTTTCGGAATTTCCAAAACAAGGGAAAGAAAAACAATTTTGCGAAAATTTCGGGCCCAACCCTAATTTTCCATGATTCGGCGGAATTTCCGGATTTACGGTCCCAAAACGTTCGAATTCCCCAAGTTGGTTGAAAACCAAAAAAAAATAAATTGTAACCCTAATTTCCAATACTGCAATAAAACGGAAATGCCGATTTTGCAAACGAAATACAGGATTAAAATCAGAATGCTGAATTATAAAAACGGAAACTGAAATGAAAATCAGAATGCCGAATTAGATGGAGTACTGATTTCAACCTAATCGTGAATCACTAATCGGAAATCCGAATAAAACAGAATGTCGGATTAGTATCAATTTATCGGAACTCGAATTAAACAGCATACCGTAGTAAAACAGAAATCCGAATTACAAGTCCGAATACCTATTTGAACGGAAATGCCGAAATAAACAGAATACCGAAAAAAAAAATAAAAAAAAATTGCAACTTTGTACTCTATAATAATTCAGAGCTGATTTGGAGGATTGAAAAAGCAATCTACTTCCTAATCAGACTTACCTGGTGAGCAGATCCGTGAAATGGTCTGCTCCGATACCAAAACTGTTACATACTTCAATGAGTATGGGCA